AAAATGCTTATTTTTTAAATTTAAAAAAACATACCATTAGTCTAACAAGATAGCTTTTCATTATTGCAAAATAAATGACGACAGTTTAAAGAATTGTAGTTTTAGACGTAAAATAGATAATAGAGAAGGGTAAGGACAACAAAACCTCTCTCTCTCTCTCTGTTTACTTTCATCTTCTTTTACAGAATAATTATAAGTCCAAGTTGTGGAAATGTAAAGAATCCAAGTAAGAATAAAAAATAAATTCAAAAGCCCAAATTTTGCTTTTCTGAAATAATCTATTTTTAGAATATAGATTATACAATCCAAAGGGAAAAATAGAATATGATAGCCAATTGTCAAATTCCCAGAAAATTGAAGGAATATTTCAAATATTCAATAGAAAGAGATGGTTTCATGTCAGGTTTTTAATGCACGCAGAAATTCAAAAAATATGCTTATTGTTTGGATACAATTATGGAACAGTAACATTCCTTGATTAAATTGATTTTCTATATCGCTCACCAACCCGTGAAGATTTGATAGAAACACTTTCCTGTTCAACTGCGGCAGTGTCTTTGGAAAATTGTACTATCATTGAAGAAATGTAGGCATCGTTTTTACATAAATATTAGACAGATAGATTGTGATTATTTCAGTGAAAACTTATGGAAAATTTCTGCAATTGAATGTAGAAATCAGTTGTCAATAGGTTTTTTTTTTGTTGAATATTAAAAAAAAAGATTTTGTTCCCAAAAAATTTGTTTTTTTCCATTTAGATTGTTCTGGTGAATTTACTGTAATTATTAATGATGTCTGCTACCATCTTTTCGGAACTAAAAGGACATTAGCTATATTTGAAATTGAAAAGCTTTGCATTTTAAAAAATTTAACAATAGCTGATTATCCAACTCTTGATAAAATGAATATTTTTCAATATATTGAAAGTATAATATCGAATATAACAGTAGACGTGTCTTATAGTTCATTTGACCTTGGATTTAGTGGTAAGATAGAAAAAAATATGAAAAATAGCAAAAATATTAAAATTAAGCTGAATGTTAATGTTTATTACTTGAAATTCATTAAGTATTAGAACAAAGAAAGAACTCTGTAGGTGTTAAAATATTTACAACAAAGAGTGGTTTTTCTCTAAAATTACCCCTGTTTTTATATTCTGAAGTAAGGATTTTTGAAAAATTTTATTTATAGGCCTTTTTTTATAATAGACCTTTTTCCTTCAAATCAGAAAAAGTCAAATAATTATAATGCTTTGAATGAATTGACAAAATTAGAATTGGATATTAATAACAAAAAGTGTTATAAAATATATTTTCAAGTAAAAACTTAGATTTTCTAATAAAACAAAACTATTTTCTTTCTTTTTGAATATTTTTTCTAAAGGATTTATTCACACTTGACTCTACTCTTTTTGATTGTTCTCGAAGAGTTACAAATTGGTTCATATGTCAAAAAATGCAAAGTCAGCATTTGAATTTAAAAAACAATAAAAAATTAATATCCTCATTTCAGAAATTACTCCTGATTTTAAATTGTATTTTCCACAAATTTCTAAAAATCAATCAATCGCAAATGGTTTTCTATGCAAAAATGGTAGTATTTTTATCAATATTGCATATCATTGTGATGGTATTTCTGATTGTTTTTCAAATGAAGATGAAGAGAATTGTAATAACTTTCAAACTTTCACATGTCACACATCAAACACAGACATCAGTTTAGTGCATGTTTGTGATTTTATTGATGATTGTCCAGATAAATCCGATGAGGAGTTTTGTGGTAAATTTACTCCTTTTTTTTTATTCTTTTTCTTTGACGATCATTTAATATTGTTTTTATAAACTCAGAGAGTTTATCAATTGATAAATAATTTTTATAATTTAAATTATAACCTTGAAATTTAAATGTCGTTATTGTATTTGATGAATTTTCAAACTGTTTAAATAACTTTGAGTATCCGTTAAAATCATTATTTTCAATTTTTTTACGAACGCTACGTGTAGATAATTCAATATTGGACGCCATTTTGTTTTTTTAGTATTGATCCAAGTTGCTTATGGCAATTGGAGGGGTTGTTTTATTTGTACTAAAACTAGATCACTAGGTGACGTTATAAATTGATTTTGTTGATTTATAATTTATAAAATGAGCATCATATGTTGTCTGCGCATTAGAAACAACTGTTGCCTCTGCCTCCTGCCTCCCCTCCCCTTTTTCTACCTCACTCTCTTATCTCACCCATTATGAGCAATTCATTACATAAATAACTGATTTATAGATAAGAAATTTTTTTATACAAATACAATATATATTTTATATTAATGGTTTGAGTTTGTGTGGAAGATTCAAAATTGGGATTTTAAATTATTAACACAGCAAAATGCTTACAACTTTAGGATTTTTAACAAGTATTTTACTACTAATAATACTATTAAGGTGTATTGAACATTTTATAAGATCTATTTATATAAGGAATATTAAAAATAGATACGTTTTAATAACCGGATGTGATACTGGTAAGTTGAAATTGTTTATTTCCTTCGTAATGAACAGACAAAAAAAAAAAATTTCAGGATTTGGAAATCTATTGGCGAAACGTCTTGACAATAAAGGAATGAATGTTATAGCTACTTGCCTAACTGAAAAAGGAGCTAAAGATTTATCGTTATCCTCTTCAAATAGATTGACAACTTTCATTCTGAATGTAACGAATGACGATGAAATTGAACAACTTAGGGAATTTGTTAGTCAAAAAGTTGGTGAAAATGGTCTATACGCTTTAGTGAATAATGCTGGAATTATTGGACACAATCTTGGTTCGCCGGAGACGATTCTACCGCATAAAGTTAGGGAAGTTTTAAACGTTAATGCGGTTGCTCCAGCAATAATGTCATTTAAATTTCTCCATTTGTTACATATGGCGAATGGTAGAATTATTAACATGTCATCCCTTGCTGGACGGATACAAAATAAGATTCTTTTATATGCAATGTCGAAATTTTGTCTATCAGGCCTATCAAGTTGTTTAGGGTAAATATTTCAATTTTTCCAATACCAGTTTTAACTAAATTTTCAACCCAAAAAGGCTTATATTGAAAACTCATGGCTGGAATATTTCTGTTCATGTAATTGAACCAGGAATGTATAGGACTAGTCTATTAAGTGCTGATGATACTAGAAAACGGGTTTTTGACAGTTACGATAGAGCTTCGAAATTTACAAAGGATACATTCAAAACTAGAGAGAACTATGTTGAAAAATGTAAGAAAATATTTTTAAAATTTTTAAATATTTTTTTTACGGAAGGTTTTGATTTTCAAAATTAGTTATGGAATACCATTTAACAGCGATACATAGATTGAAAAGCAATACTCACGAAGTAATTGATGCATATGAGAATGCAATCTTATCAATATGGCCTAAAAATCGTTATACAGTTGGATTATTTGAGAAATATGTTATAATTCCACTAACTTATCTCCCAACAACAATTTCAGACATTCTTGTAGCAAAAGATTAATTGAATGTTATCTTTATTGAAAAAATATACATGAACATTGTACTTTGTTGTATTGTAATTGTAGGAAGTCCTAGCTCGTCACTATCAAATTCGTCCTCTCCAATCATTTACCAATTTGCCAAAGTACTGGTCCAAATAGAACCTTTCAAGTTCGTCCACAAGTAGTCTTAATAAATGTAATTCCAGTAAAAATTAACCAACAAACACCAGTATTTCATTCAAAGAATATGTATTTGAGTAAATGAGTTTCTAGTTCTAAACAAGCAAGTTTGAACAACCAGCTGATGGTTAGAAAACTGAACTGACTACTGTTAAATTCGTAGGGTTTATATACTTTTCCAATAGTTCACAGTTCACGGATAAAAATATTCACACAAACAAATGTAACAATTTGGATAAAGGGAAAGTTCAAATATACTTCCATGTTTGTTACTTTTTCTTTATCTTGGAGAACTTTTGCTCCCTATTTTAGTAGGTCAGAAAGTTGCCTAAGATGTAACAATTATTAATAGAAGTTGGATTGATTCCAAAACACAAAAATAGGAAAAGGTCAACTTGATGCCGTTTTAATATACAACAAATTATTAATAATAATTGTTTGTGTAAGATAATATGTTTCTGTGTAAAGGACTGGTAGGATAAAAGTATTAAACTTAATCATTCAATATAGTATTGTGCATACAATACTGTTGAAAAGTGACAATAATCTAAAAGCTCCAAATATAAATAGAATAGTGGAAGATATAATTAATATTCATTAAATATGATGTGTATAATAATTAGGGTTAACATCTAAGTTTAAACTTAGTTTAAATAGTGTATGTTGTAGTTTTAGGTGTGTAAAGTACTCTATAATACTCTTTCAATATTGCTTTCCATTGATGAATGAAATGTAACAATTTGGGTGTATTGTGTGAGTTTGTGAGCCTGGTTACGAGCTTATGTGTTTAGTACCTACAAACTGCCTAAATGTGTACAAACATCCCACTCCTTTAAGACCTTGCTTCCACGAAAGGTCTTGGGCTTGAAACAATCAGTGTGTCACCATCCTTTTTGAATGTTGGATAAGTTTGTAGTGGTATTTCTTCTGGTTCAGCTGTTGGGGCTGTAGGTAACTTTTCTTTTCTAGCTAAAAGCTTAGCTAGCTTGGTGAAGTGTACTCTTTTCCAGTCTTTCTTCCAAAGAAACCAAATCAGAATCCCAATTCCAATGATTATTGTTATTGGAAGAAGTATGTTGATGAGTGTTTTGTAAGGTGTCCTGGCCCATGATGAGAATATATGTTCAGTTTTAGACAAAGCAGCATCAATGCCCAAATCATTAGCAAAGTTTATGTGCTCTTTATGTCTTGTTAAAGTGTCTTGAATGTATTCTAAAACTTGTTGAACTTGTTGTTGCTTCTTACCAACATCCTCTTTTATACCAAGCTGTATTAACTCAGTAAGTCTAGCAACCTCTAATTTTGGTTCTTCAATTTCATTGCTTATTTTCATTCTGATTGATTGTGCTGCTGCAGTCTGAAATCTGCATCCTTTCTTTGTGTAATAGATGAATGTTTTCTTTCCAGAATACATTGCATGTTGATTGTGTTCAATGTCCAGTGGGTTTTTCTTAATTTTGAACAGGTGTTGTGTTTGGTCACAATCTCCATATCTTATATCTTCTTTTGTTATGTGGTAAGCATGATGGAGTATTGGATCAACTGAGAATAAGAGATCTTTATACTTGATGAGAAATTCTTTGGAGCATAATCCATTTTTGGTGATAATTGTTGTATCACACACTACTTGAACTGATTTTAATTCTGTACAAGTATTTAAGGTTGTTAGATCACCAAGCCATGTACTGTGCATTCCATGCTTAGATCCAAGTATTGTTGGTAGTTGAGGTGCCAATGGTGTGAGTAATGCTACCATCTTGTTTCTCATAATGAATTCTTTGCATAGAAGTTGTGATACTTGTTTGAAAACTGTTTGTAAATTTTGGAAATTTTTATCAATGTTATTTAATAAAGCAGATGTTCGAATAGCATCTGCTATGTCTATTTTGTGAAATTTTGGCATCTGTATGCTTTCTGATACTCTTCTCCTCCATTCATGCTTCTTTGGTGTTCTTTGCAAAAGTGTAAATTTTCCATTTGCTTGATGTGTTTGAAATTGTTTATCTTTTGGACTTTGGTACCAAGTGTCCAGTCTTGGTAAGGGATTGAAACTAATTTTCTTCTTGTTGAGTTCAAAATCTTCTGCTTTTGCCATTCTAGCAGGTTCCATTTTGGTTGTTTTCAACATTTTGAGTATGTATTTGTTGTTAATATCCCATATATCAGGTGAGATTATTTCTCTGACCATCCAGGTCCTAACCAGTGGTGTTACATGATTTTTGATCAGCATATGATAAGTTTTGTCACCATCTCTATACCAATCATTATAGGTTAGTATATTTTGTATTTCTGTATTATTTGCTTTTCTCAAAGTTGATATCTTTCCATCATAATTCTGCAATCTTGCAACTTCTTTGTTTGAAATGATTTTATATTTGATATCTGCCATCATTCTGTTATCAGCATAATTTGAATTTGTAAGATCAGTTCTTAATAAGTTGTATTCCTTCTGGGGTACTAAAATTCTTGTTCCAGGACCACCATATCCTTTGATATATCTATCTTGATAAGGTAAATCCATTATTGCATAGTTGGGACATGAAAAATATCCTCCAAGCTTAATGCACTCTACATTGTAGGATACTGCTTTCCATGGGGATTCATGACCAAGGAGATTTTGTCCTTTCTGAGGATTGAAAATGATAATGGAATCCAGAGTTCTACAAAATTTATGTTTGATAGAACAGTCCTCTAAATATTCCAAGTTGGTTGTTATCTTATCCTGACTTGGGTGCCAATAAGCTTTGCCAATTTGGAGAATTGTTGTAAATTCTTCAACCACTGTTGTTCTTGGCCATTTGTAGTTTGATCCTTTGTTTTCATTGTACATTAGAAGGTTTCCTTTTTCAATGAGTTTTTGTCCATTTAAGGTCTTTTTTGACAATAACATTTTTCTGCATTGTTTGTCACTTAAGGTAAATGTTTGTTTTTCAACTCTGTGTTTCTTTGCTCCAAAGAAGTAATGAGTGTAAAAGTTGATTCTTCTCTTTACCAAACACTTAACAGCTTGTATTGCCAAATTATCAGCTTTAATTTCATAAATATTTGCCATTATTTTGGTCATTTGTTTAGTTTTGAATGTGCAAATTGGTTCATCAGCCAGATCAAATGACTGATGTACTTGTTGCCCTTGACAGAATTGTACTGAAGGAAGCATTCTCACAGTTATGTTTGCTTTTGTTATTGATACATTTCCCTGAACCAAGTTTAATAAGCATAGCACTAGCAGAGTGTAAACAATGGATCCTCTTATAGGAAGTGTTCCAACTTTCCTTTCTTGTTTCTCTACCTTGAGTGTGTTAACTCTAGTTGGTTGTTTGTTAGCCAATCTTAGTCTACTAGCATGGTAGAATTTTCTTTTGCCATTTAATATTTCCAATTCATAAAGACATTTTGTAGTATCAGTAGCAGTTACAATGTATGGTCCACTCCATTTGCTTGTATTTATTCTATTCATTCCTTGACCAATGTGTTCATTTTTTATGTGTACCCATTCACCAATTTGGTAAGTTGGGGGTTTTCTTGTGATAGTTTTGTTTACTCTATCTCTATATGCCTTCTTTTTCATGACAGATTTGCACAATGCAGTTGCTCTTATTTCTTCCATTTCATGCTTTCTATCAAATAGAAATTTTGTTGTTGGTTCTAATCTTGGAACTTCCATTAACAAATCTAAGACATTCCTATTCTTCAATCCAAATAATATTTCATGTGGAGTTTTGCCTGTGCTTCCCACTGGAATTTGGTTTAAGCATGTTTGAATTATTGGTAATTGTCTTGTCCAATCTGTTAATTGTTCCATAACTACATGTTTATGTAGTGCTCTGCGAATTTCCAAATTCTTTCTTTCTACCATTCCATTACTTTGGCTATGGAATGCTGTTGTTTTTATTTTCCTTATTCCCATTGATGTAACCATCTCTGTAAATATTTCCCCAGAAAATTCCGTCCTTGGTCTGTGAGAATTTCTTCTGGAATACCAAATATTGGAAAGTAGTTAAAAAACAAGTGTTTTGATATTTCTTCAGCTGTCTGAGTTTTTAATGGAATAGATTTGTAAATCTTGACATGTGATCTATAATGACAAGTATGTATTTGTAAGATTCATGTCCTGTTAGTGGTCCATTATGTCCATTGCAATTCTTTGCATTGGTAGAGTTGGATGGGGTGTTTCAACCAATAGATGTTTGTTTCCAGGTGCTCTTAATTGTTCACAGAATTTGCAATTCTTTATATGGTCTTTAATTGTTTTCTTAAGTTGTGGATGCCAGAAAGCTTTTCCAAAGTATGAATTGTTATGTCTACACCATAGTGTTCAAATATTTGATGTTGATGTATTTGGTTCAGTAGGTTTGTTAAAGTTAGTAGTGGAATTACCAGTAATGGTTGACAACCATTCAGATACCATACTAAATCATCTTTGACAAACATATGTTCAATAAAATTTTGTATTCCTTGAACATTTCAACATCAATATTTGCTCCTTCCAATTTTTCTACAATTTTCATTAGCGTGTCATCCAAAACTTGTTCAGTGTAGAAGTTTATCTCAACAGGTTTATTTTTTAATTTCATGACCTGTAATTTTTTGTCATCTGCTTCTTCATCATAACCATCATTATTGTCTAAAATGTCATCCAAACAATCAGCTAAGTCTTCTAAATCTTCTGTATCAATATAAAAGCATTTAAGCATATCCTTTCTTTCTGCTAATTGTGGAATTGTATTGCCATTTTGTTTTTCTTCATTTAGTCTTTCCTTTAGTAAATTTCGGAAATCAATAACTTCATCAGTTTCTCCAATTCTGATATCCAGTCTGCTCTGTTGGTTCTTCCAGGTAT